GTAGGGCACAGTGCAAAATGAAAATGCACGTCAACAATAGAGATGAAACCAAGTGTGGGCTCTTCTGAGTGCCGGCTGAGTGCTGTGTAGACTGCTTAGGTCACATGCCCATGAAGCTGGCCCTGACTTTAAGCAGAGAATGTCCACCCAACTCTGAAACAGTGGGCTGAACATGCTGGCCTCAGCTGCACAGGCTGTTCCAAGGACCAGAAACTCAGCCCCCACCCTGGGCCCCAGGGAAATTCCTGGAACACAGGCTCAGCCCTAGAAAAAGCATTTCTCTGAACTAGTGGTTTTCAACTAGGGAGAGGGGACTTCCCTCCAGGTGTATTTGGCAGCCTCTGGAGACATTTATGGTTGTCACAACTGGGAGGGGAGGGGTGCTAATGGCATCTAGGGGGTGGAAACCAAGGATGCTGCTCAACACCCTGCCATGTGCACAGCCCAGCCCTTGCACCACACGAGAGGATCAGCAAGTCCCAAATGTCACCAGGCCCAAGGTCGAGAAACACTTGCTCAGAACAGAGTCCACTCCTCGCACACCCTCTGAGCTGTCCGGAGGGTCCAGGAGGCCTGGGTCCCGGGCATGCTGGGCTTGGTCCAGCCTGCCAGGAGTGACTGCAACTTTCCACTGAGAGCTCCTGAACTGGAACGGATGGTGCCCACCCTTCCTGCCAGGAACTTTCTCTCCTGACCTGCCACAAGGGTTCCAGCAGCCAAAATTCTTCCTGCCCACACTCCCCACTCTTGGCAGCCCCATCCCCCTGGCACTGTGCAGGCTGCTGGCCCAGAAGCCCTGGGAACATTCCTGACCTTTGCTTTGGTTTCCTCCAGCTCTTGGCAGCTTCTTGCTGGCCTTCTGAGCCCCCCCACGCCAAGCACAGCTCGCTGAGGTGCCCCATTGTTCTCACTGCCTCCTGGTCTCGGGCCTGTGCCTGCTTTGCACCCTCATCTCCCAGGGGTCCATGGAGAAGCAGGCACCAGCCTCGAGATGAACGTGGGGGCCCTCCCGCCGTGTTTGGGCTGCCCTGGGCCTCCAACACGGCCCTTATCTGAGGCCCAGTCCCACACAGGAGAGAGGTGAATGACCCCCTTACAGCTTCTAATGGGAGCTGGGTGGCCTGGGCTCTCCTCCCCTCCCCCTCCCTGTGACATTTGAGCAAGGCACACCCACCCCACCCCCCTAGTTCTGGAAAAGTGGAGGAAATTCTGCACTTCTGGCCCCCTCGGGGCAAAGGGCTGCGCTATGGGGAAGGTAGAGAGCCTCTCGAAGGGAAAAGGCTGTTGGAGCCTCCTGAATTATGGATGTGCTGCTCCCCCCACACACACACTTAAGTGCCTCTTAACTAGCCAGTAAAACCCACCTCCAGCTGCCCTGAAGTCTCCCTGGGGAGGAAGGGCATGTTCTCAGCATCCTTGCTCTCTGAGACCCTGCATGCAGCTCGGAATGAGACCCCTGGGGTGAATTTGCAAGGCGTTGTCTCCAATCTAGAAAGGGGCCTTGGCAGAGGAGCCTGACCCACGGCCGCCAGCCCAGAGCCAGGCTTCTCTTACCACGAATCCTGCCAGTGGGGTCTTCCATGTTTGTGCCCAAGGCCCTGCACCTCAGGCAGCAGGACTGGGTGCAGGAGGTGTAGCTGCAGGCCTGGGCTCCATCCTGATCCTGTGTGAACCCCAGTGAAATGCATGACTCCTCCGGACCCAGCTGGCAAAAATCACATTTGTTCCTTGAGCAGGAGTCAGGAAGCTGATCCTGGGGGCTGGAGGCTGGGGGCTGGGGGCTGGAGTCTGGGGCCTGGGCCAGAGCGAATGCTGGAAGTGGGCCTTCTCCACTCCCACCCACGTCAAGGGAGGTGGGACATGGCCGCCTGGGATTTGCAGCCCAGCAGATGTGGGCCCAGCTCTGCCCTCTCTCTCAGAAGCTGTGTGGCCCTGGGTGGCAAGCCCCCACCCCAAGCCTCACAACATGTAAAGTGAGAAGGGTGGGTAAAGTGAGAGAAGGGTGGTGATGGCCGCGCTCAGCGGCCCCTCCGTCGGTCAGTCCTTCCTCTGAGGAGCCCACATCCTAAACTACTGCTCACTGGGCTCACTGGGCCCTGCTCCTTGGGGTCCCCAAGGACCTAGGAAGCAAGCAGCCACATCCTTCCTCCACCCCTGGACCTGGTGCTGGGTACCAAGCTGTTTGTGGACAAAAATGGGGCCACATACTACGCCCGACAGGCTCGGGGAGGCCTGCATGGTGGGCCCTGTGAACTCAGACTGGAAGTAACCACATAGGATTGTCTGAACAAATAATTCCCAACTAAAGCCAGGTCATGGTGGTCCTCGCATCCCCGGCCTGTAGCTTCCCTGACAAAGGCCAGTCTTTACCTAACTGAGCCTGTCTACTGTCCTTTTGCTCTAAGACAGCATACCTTTGGAATGTCAGTGATCTCCTTTTCAGACCCCTCAGGGCACCCCCAACACACACTGGAGCAGAGACCACAGAGCCCCTCATTGTCATCTTGTTCCCCCAAATACCATCTCTCTGCTGTAAATATTCATTATTAACTATCCCGTGTCCACCAATGTAAAAGAAGTGTCTCTGTTGTACTTTTTATCCAATCCCAGAGATTTCCCCAATCTGCTTTTTCCCACCCCCTCAATTTACCACCCATGGATTTCATGTCACCCCCTTAGCCTCCTCCTTCGATTCTAATGTATGAAATAAGCTGCAAAACTGCTGTTCTCTGGAGCATTTTCTCATCTGTTGAGATTTTGCTTCCTGGCTAAAATAAACTCATAAAAATTCTCTACAAGTTTGGGGATTTCTTACATTGACATGTTCAACCTTCTCCTTGCAAAGGGTCTTATTTGGGTCTCGGACCCAGGCCAGTCCTGGCCCCTGGCCTCAGAAACCGGTGTGAGGGGCAAATGCAGGGCAGGAGGCCTGGCTCTGGCAGCCGGGGGTGGTGGGCCCACCAAGCTTACCGCTGATGGCGCTGGCACCCTGCCTGAGGAATGCCTGCTGTACCCCCTCCCTGCTGCAGGAGAAAGGCTGCTGTTCCTGCCTCTCCCTTCCCAGGAGCATGGGAATCAATCGGCCACGGAAGCTGTGCAGTGTTTCCTTCCTTTCTCACCAGCCCCTCCCCCTCCGGGGCCTTGAGGACCTGGGCTTGGCTGGTGGGAACTGAAGCTTCTGGGTTGTGGGAAGAAGACCCAGCTGGGACCCCCAGGAGCCCCTTGGGACTAGGGCTGGGACCCTGCCTGGGATTTCCTGGGCCAAGGTACCCTCTTACCCATCCACACGCTCTCTGCACAAAACAGAGCCACTCAGCCAAATGAGCCCCACAAGACAGCCCCCGAGCAGTCCAGAGGCTCACCCTCCCTGGGGCTGAGGGAACGCAGGCCCTCCACAGCCCAGAGGTTGGGGAGAAAGAGGAGTGTCTCCTCCTTCCTTCCCATCCTCTAGGGTCCCTCATCTGCCCTTTCATCAAAGGGAGCAGGAGGGCCCAGCCCTAGTCCCAAGCGGTTAAGCATTGGTCTAGGATCCAGGAGATCGAGGTTCGATTCCGGGTCAGGGCACATGCAGGGTTGTGGGCTCGATCCCCAGCAGGGGGTGTGCAGGAGGCAGCCGATCCATGACTCTCATTATGGATGTTTCTATCTCTCTCTCTTCCTCTCTCTGAAATCAATAAAAACATATATTTTTTTAAAGGAGCAGGAGGCCCAGAGACAGGGGCACCGAGTGAATGGCTTTGGGGAGGGGAGGTGTGGTGCTTGGTCCTCAAAGCAGAGCCAGGTGGCTGGGTTCCCCACCAAGAGTCCCCTGTGCCTCCCAGACCTGAGAGGAACCGGGGGCAGGACAGGAATGGGGCCTCCCTAGTCCGTCTCCTGGCCAGTCCTTCCCACGTGGCCAGCCCTCCCTCACTGAGGGTCAGTGTGCACTGGTTCACTCTCACCCTTTGGCCTCCTGCTAATTGAATTTGCTTCATTTACCATGAAGAGTCGAGGGCTGTGTGAACTGTCCTGGGCAGATTCGAGCTGGGTGGGAGACTGGGCAGGTGTGAGCTGGTCTCACTCTCCAAATCCATAGAAATGCCCTCAATCAAGTTGGGGAGGGGAGCAGTGAGTGGGAGATTAGGCACATCTGGGGCCAGGTTTGCCTTTGAGTACCAGGGACCAGAGCATGAACTCCAGAGTCAGGCTCAGGTCCTGGTTCAGGCTCTCCTAAGCCGTGTGACCTTGGGCCAGCTGCTTAGCCCCTCTGAGCCTCAGACTCCTCCTCTGTAACTGGGGCTCTTGAGAGGATTAACTGAGATAACACTTGGCAAGTTGCCCGGCCAGTAAACAGCACCAGATGAGAACTGTGGGGTACCCTGAGGAGGGATCCATGGGCCTGGCACCTTATCAGCAGGAGGGGCCCTGGCCCTGGATAAGTGAAAGGCTGGAAAACAATGTCCTGGTCCAGTAGCCAGACCGCTCCACTGGATGCCACACCTCTGTCTGCTCTGGAGATGGGGTAGAGCACCCTCTCCCATCACTGTTGCTCTCAGAGCCAGCTGAGGACCCACACTACCCCCTGGGCACTCAGACCAAAAGCCAGTCCCCAGGAGCCTCTGTCCTTTATGGCTTATGGACCAGCCTTACCTGGACTCAGCTTTCAGAACTGACTGACTTCAAAGAACAGGAGCCACGGCCAGGCCAGCTGGAAAATTCTGGAACCACAGCCCCTCAGCACCACATGCTGGGAGTGCTGCAGCCTCGCCCAGCCCCCAGGCCCCTTCCCTGACACAGGTCAGATGGAATTTCCCCGGTGGGCAGTCCAGGCTGGCTGGGGGCAGCCTCTTGAAGGGGGTCCTGGCACCTAGCACCTCGTTCAGCCTCACAACTGCCCAGCCTATAGATAACATTAGCCCATTTCACAGATGAGTAACTAAAGTCCAGAGAGCCCCTGCTCTGGTTGAGCTGGGACTCAGACCTGCGCCAGGCTCTCCCCCAAGGCCCAGGCTCCTCCTTACCGTCTGATGGGTTCCCTGCCGACGTCCTCAGCCTCTGCCCTCCAGACCCCAGGCAGCCTAGTACCAGGCGCCTGGGCCAAGGTCCCCAGCAGCCCCCAGCCTAGGGCCCCCCCAAGGCTGAGCAGCAATGTCAGGATCATCTTGGCAGTGGGCAGGTTCAGCCTCTGCCAGTGATTCCAGAAACTGCTTCGAGTGACGTCTCAGAAGGAAAAGAAAGCTGGGGACAACAAAGAGAGGAAGTGGCCTAGGCCAGCCCACCCGGTACTTCTGGTCCAGCCCCTCACACACACACACACACACACACACACACACACACACACACTCCCCACCCCCCACAGAGGCAGTCAACAACCAGCTGGTTCCCGTGCCCTGAGAGGACTTGCGTCAGGGACCCTGGAGGCTGGGAGGCCCAAGTGTGGTAGGCAGTGGGACAGACATGAGCAGAGCAAGGACGATGGGTCACCAGGTCACCAGGGTGGAAAGCCTCAGGTGCCTAGCAAAGGACAAATGTAGGGTGGGACCTCAACCCCAGGGTGGCCTTTCCTCCCCTAGCATATCGCAGGTCTTGCTGTTTGGACCCCTGACCTTTCCGCCCTGGAGATAACATCTAGGTCTCAGTTATATTTCAGCTCCAGGCCCAGAAAAGCAGCAAAACCAGATGAGCGACCCCATGGCTGCCTCAGGACCAGCTGCATTGGATAATACCCCCTGCCCTGGTGCCAACCAGTCAATCAGGGGAGACCCCGACCCTGAAAGGGCACACCTGGAAGGCTGCAGAATATTCTGTTGAAATCTTCCCCTGAAACCTCCCCTAAAATCTCCCACCTTAAAACCTTAGGGCGAGGACCCAGTGCTCTCTCCCTGGGGAGCACGCCAGCGCCTTTTCCTTACTCCCTTTCTCCTCCCTCCAGGGCGTTACCATTACCGTCCTCACTCTCAGGCTCCAAGGGCCTTTCCTTTGCCTCTATAACTTGTTTCCTAAGCCCATTTCTTCTAGGAATTACTTCTTCCATCTCTGTGATTTTATAAATAAGTGTTCTCTTATTGTTTGGGTCTTGGCTCTCAGTTCTTTCCTAGCCAGAACTCATGTACTGAGGATGCCAAATCCAGGTCCTGTCGACCCCACCTGGTGCCATTCCTGCCACCCACGACCCAAGGAAGTATCCCTACTCAACATGTCCCCATAAGAGTCAGGAGAAGAGCACAGGGGTGGAGGTGGGGCTGCAAGAAGCAATTGGTTAGTCTCAGGGAACCTGCTCTGCATCCATGCTGGTGGCCAAGAAGTAGGGGACACTTCATACCTGCTCAGCGCCTGTCACCCTTGGGTTGTGGGAGCCAACAGGTGGGGAGAGGCTCAGAGGGAGAACGGAGCTGTCTGAGGGCCATACAGCGTGTCACCAGAGGCCAGGGCATGGGAAAGCCTTTGTGGGCCTTGTCGCAGCTCCTCCACTTATCCTTGCCACAGCCCTAGGATGGGGCTCCATATTGAGTGGCTGGGCAGCCCAGGCCGGTCTGGAAGGTTGGCCACTCTGGCCTGACAGGCCAACAGGGCCCTGACCTCTACCTTACCTGGATGTTGGTAGCAAAGGCTCCTACCCACATGCCCCGGATGTCACAGACACAACAGTCCCAGGCCTGAGGGTTCCTGGCCAGGGCAGCCCCTGTGGGTGGGAAGGACAGCGAATGAATAAAAAGCAGCCATGGATAACGAGGGGTCCAGACCCCTGCAGCCCCTCTGGGTGGGAAGGACAGCGAATGAATAAAAAGCAGCCATGGATAACGAGGGGTCCAGACCCCTGCAGCCCCTCCGGGGAAGGCGGGGCAGGAGGGAAGCGTTAAGCCAGCGGGGCCCAGGGGACCGGGACCCTGCTGCCAGCCTCCATCCTCCGTCTCTCCCTCCCTTCCTCCCTCCTCCCGCCGTCCCCACCCCCAGACTGGCTGGGCTTCCACAGGCCAGCCGCTGCATCGTCAATATTTCATCGGCGTCAGTAAGCGGCGGCAGCACCACCGCCCGCTCCAGCCGCAGCTGCAGGGAGAGGCGGCTCCGCTCCGGCCACCACCATGGATGTCTTCAAGAAGGGCTTCTCCATCGCCAAGGAGGGCGTGGTGGGTGCTGTGGAGAAGACCAAGCAGGGGGTGACGGAAGCGGCTGAGAAGACCAAGGAGGGTGTCATGTATGTGGGTGAGTTTGGGCGGGGCAGAGGGAGTAGCTCGGGGGCTGGAGGCTGGGACGCCCAGTTACTTTGGGTCTGACCTTATCCCCCAGCCCCAGGGTGGCATTTTGGGAGGGAATGAGAACCTGGCCGTTGAGTCAGGGTCTCCAGGCCCTGAAACACCCCCATTTTCCTGCACACATCAGTGTCTGTTTGGACTTCCTCAGGGCCCCAGGAGTCTCTGGGGCAGGAGAGCAAGAGGGTACCCAGCTCTGAGGCACACCTGTTTGTGTGCACACAAATGCACGCACAAATGCCCCCTGCTCCCGCATCACCGCAGGCCCCTTGACTCAGAAAGAAGCCTGGAGGCCCCGCAGTCGGAGCTGGCAGGTGCTCAGTAGCCAGGCCACAGGTCTCCACCCTACTCAGAGGGAATGGGTGGGATGGGGGAGATGAGACTCAGACTCAGTGTCCTGTCTAGTCCTATTCCCCCTCGGCTCCCTTTGAAAAGGAGGCAGAGCTGATGACTCAGCTCTTGTCCGCAGCCCTGTCCTGCTGCAGCTTCTGAGGCCCAGGCCACACCCATACATGACCCAGACCCCACCTCAGGCCCTGTCCCTTTCATCCCTCCATCCTGTCCTGCCCACCTCCCATCTGCCCCCTTTCTTAGACACAGCGGGAAGCAGCCTTTGAAGGGACTGCCATTCTCCAGACATCATCCTCACCCATTAATGACCCCACAGCTTGTCCAGCTGTTCTGTTGCCCTGACATTTCCATTCCCAGCACTAGGAGTGGGTCTGGGCTGACGCCTCCATTTCCTCCCCAGGAGCCAAGACCAAGGAGGGTGTCGTGCAGAGCGTGACTTCAGGTGAGGAGCCCCAGGACCAGAGGTATAGGGGTTGGGACTTCCAGGGACTTCTGCACCCTGGTACTAAAGGCCCAAGCTCAGGGTCCTCCTTACCTCCCAACTGGGGTCCCAAGCTGTACATGGACCCAGACCCTCAGAACCTGAGCCTAGACCCAGGGTTGGCCTCACAATCATCAGAGCTCCCCTGGTGCCAGGAAGGGGGCAGTCTAGGCTCTCAGGTAGAGCCAGAGGTTCAAGTTCCCTGGGAGAGGGGCTGCTCAGGTCTGACTTAGGCAGGCCAGGCCCACATAGGGGGGGTTAGGGCCTAGGCCAGCCAGAGTCCTCCCACAGTGGCTGAGAAGACCAAGGAGCAGGCCAACGCTGTGAGTGAGGCAGTGGTCAGCAGCGTCAACACCGTGGCCACCAAGACCGTGGAGGAGGCGGAGAACATCGCAGTCACCTCCGGAGTGGTGCACAAGGTGAGGTCTGGTCCCCAGCCCTGGTTGTCAGACCAGTCCCATCCTTTCCTCTGGGCCCCAGGGAAGCCAGCTGGGGAGGACGCATTATCACCCTACTGATGTACAGGGAAACAGGGACTTAGGGGCCTGGTGATCTGTGCTTTGTGTTTTCACATCCATTCAGGCAGAGTCTCCACAGCCACCCCTGTGAGGGGGCAGTTTGAGACCCAATCAGAAAGTGAGTCTCAAAACCACACCCTCTTATAGGTGCTAAGCTTTTAAGATATACCACATTTGACTAGTGAATGCAGGGTCCTGTGGGCCTCACATGGTGACAGGCAGCGTCCAGACAGTGGACACCAGGGAGTCACCACCAGCCCAGTGACCATGCTCTCCCCTGCCCCCTGTGGGCAGCCACCTCCTCCCAGGAGGAGCTGGGAAGCAGCACCCCCTGGTGATGGGAAACTGAGGTTCTGACCCCGCCCTCCTCCTCTGCCTTTGTGTGCATGTTCAGTGTGTGCCCGAGAATGTGAATGTGTGTGCTTGTGCACCTGTGTCTGTGTGCTGCCCACAGGAGAGAGCACAGGAGCAGTGGGGAACTCCCAGGAAGTGGAGGCTGGCAAGTAAAACATCCCAGCACCCGCAGAGCAGGCTCTGTTTGAAGTGTTTTACACATATTAACTCATTGAATCAGCACAAAGCCCCACAAAACAGGATGTGGAAATGAAGCCCAGAGAGACTAAGCAATGTGCCCATGGGGACGTGGCGAGCCTGCAAGCCCCAGGGCAGCCTGTGCCCCAGGGCAGCCTGTGCTCCGACTGATAGCGGCTCAGAGTGTAAGGTCGTAGTGAGGGCAGGATCCCAGTCCAGAGGGCTCTCTCCAGCTCTGTCTGAAGCTATCCTCTAGAAAGCTCCCTTACCTGGTACAAGTTGCCCAGGGCACCCAGCACTCAGAATCCCGGCTCTGGGAGTGGGTGAGGGGCAGGGGAGTGGTAGCCCTGCCCCTGGCTCTGAGGGCAGCACATAGGCATCTGCTTCCAGGGTCTCCATGTCCTTGGAGGGGCAGCTGCTCCCTCTCCTAGTTCTCAGCTCTGCCCCTTCCTAATGCTATGACCTCAGGAGGCTACTCAACCTCTCTGGACCTCCATTTCTTCATCTTTTTTTTTTAATTCTCACCTGAGAATTTTACTTTATTATTTTATTTTACTTTTTTAGAGAGAGGGGAAGGGAGAGAGAGAAACATCAATGTGAGAGCAAAATATCGATTGGCTGCCTCCCATACACGCCTCCACCAGGGATGAAACCCACAACCTGGGTATGTGCCCTGTCTGGGAATCGAACTGGCAACCTTTCTGTACACTTGATGACACCCAACCAACTTAGCCACCCGGCAAGGGCATCCATTTCCTCATATTTAAAATGGGGAAGGGGTAAGAGTATGTCTTACAGGGAAATGGCCCCCAGGAAGCCATGAGGATAGGCTCATGGTGAGCACCCAACAAAGGGAGGTGAGCACATCATCACCTTCATCAGTGCTTCTGGGCAGGACCCACATGTGCTGCAGGACAAGCCAGACCTCTCCCTCCCCTACTCCCAACAAAAGAGGCCCTGGGTGGGGCCTGGCTGCTTGGGTACTCCTCTCTGACCTTGGAGAAGGGCTAATGAGCCCTTGGAGCCACCCCAGGCTAGCCACAACTCACCCTCCAGTGAACCCTCCAGGAAGGTCGCAGCACTGCCTATCTGACTGCTCCCGCCACTAGACACATGCGCTTGCCTTGGGGCAGCAGGACTAAGCAGGTGACTCCCCACCCCTCACCTGAAGAGCCCGCCCCAACTCTGGCGGACATAGTTTGGTGCCCTTTTATGCCCCAGTCCACTAAGGGGCAGGTTGGTCCTGTGGTAGCACGGAGGTGACAGACCCTTCAGAGGTACACGTGCTGATCACCCAGCCTGGTCCTGCCCATCAGCTGTCACACTACCTCCGCTAGGCAGGTCTCCATCTCAGGCAAGTGTCCAGCTGGGCATGGGGGTAGGAGACGGAAGTGAGAGGACAGTGTAACCCCCGCAGGCCCCAACCAGACCAGCCTGGGCCAAGAACCGGCCCATCCAGGAGGCACGGAGAAGGAAAGAGGGAAGCATTCATGCTACTCGGGCGGGGAGGGCCTGGAGCAAGCCAACCTGGTCCTTACCAGCCCCACTGCTTTGAGCTCTCAGGCCTCAAGCTGGACACCTGGCTTCCTGGCCTCAGGGTACCGGTGTGAACAGTGATATGTCCCTTCTCTTAGTGCCTTCTGGGGACTCAGGAGGACAAGGGTGTATGATCATGTGATTCCGTGACACTGAGGATGGGGTCAGGCCTAGGGCTTCAGGGGCCACTGCCCACCCCACCTACCCCATCCCACTAGGCTTCCTCAATGAGGCCCAACCAGGGGCTACACAGGAATTCAGCATCAGCTTGCAGAGGTAAAGCTGGACTCCAAGGTATTTGGTACCCAGAGGCCTTGGCACCATCAGACAGAGCCCTCACGGGGGCCCTTACGTGATCATCACTCCCACAGGCAGTCTGGCCCTCGCACCTCCCTCACCTTGGCCCATCACGTACAGCAAGGTGATGAGGGCCTCTGCCCACCTTTGAGGCCGGGGAAGATGAGGCCATGGATGCAGGGCAGCTGGGGGCACAGTGCCCTCCACATGGTCCCACATTCCCTTTGCTCCCCACAGGAGGAACTGAAGCAGCCTGCCCCACCCCAGGACAAGGAGGCAGCCAAAGAGGGAGAGGAAGTGGCCGAAGAGGTAGGAGCTGGGCTCCTGAGCTACACCTGGGGCCCTGGGCAAGCCTCCTACCAGAGGAGGTTTCAGGCAGGGACCCCCATTCCTCACAGACTCTCTGCTTGCCTCCTGGGGAACCAGAGCCCTCAGGGAGGACTCCTGACCTAATGTAGCCCCCTGAGCCTAAGTGTGAGGTCCCTTCTCGACTGACCCCTCAGGGCAGAGGGTTATAGAGGACTCCTGTCCCTGCCCTGCTCAGGGTGGCCACTGAGGGCTGAGGGCCCAGAGCTGTGTGTGAAGGTCATTCTCTCTCCTAGGCCAAGAGTTGGGGAGACTAGAGGGCTGCACGTCAGCCGCAGAAGCCCACCCTTGGAGCCCATGCCCTCCCAGCACTGGAGTGCTAGTTAGTCCTAGAGCGTGACCTTCGGGTGGCCCACGCTTCCCATGCCCGCACCCAGCCCCGCAGGCCTGTCTTCTCCTGCTGCCGCCACTCTCATCTCTCCCTCCCTCGTCCTCCCAGCCTCTGGTCCTTCGCTGCTGTACATTTTTCTTTTTAACGATTTTAAATAAAGCTCAAGTCCCCACACCTGGCCCTGCTCGCCTGCACTTCCTCTGTATGCTGCCTCATTCGTGAAGATGCCCTCTGGGCCCCCTGGGGACAGAAGTTGGGCCAGCCTGTTGATCTGGGACCAGGTGCCCTACAGGGACACCCTGGGCATTTCTGGAACCTGCTGAAAGCAGGCACTGCCTTTAGGGAACTCCTCTCGCCCCCATCCATCCATCTTTGCCTTTTCACTGGAGGAGGTGGCCCTGCTTTGGGCTCCCAGGACAGGCAGTCCTCAGGAGCATGAGACTGAATGCCTCCAGGTCTGAGCTTTAGCTCAGCCTCCGGGAATGGGACCCTGACAACAGAAGGTGAGTGTGGGCGTCCTGGGCCATCCTGCCATGTGTTTTTGGCTCCAGTGTCCTTTCTGAGAAAGGGACACCTAACACCCCTCCCTGGAGTAGACGGTAACTTTCAAAGATGTGAAGTCTAAACCCATAGCCAGGAGTCTTCCCTCCTCCTCGAGCGAGCCCCACCCAGCAGCAAACTCCCACCTTCCCACGCCAAGGAGTCTGTCCAGTACCATCAGAAAACACACCAGCTGAGATGAGCGAGAATGAGCCTTGGCCTTGAGAGAAACAGTAGAAATGAATGTTTGTTGAGCTCCTCCCAGGTGTCGGACAGTTCTGAGAGCTTTACCACACTTAATCCTCAGAACAAATAATTGGTCTGATCTCAGTTTCACAGAGAATGAACTGAAGAACAGAGAGGTTAAATAAGTTGCCCAAGGGCACACAGCTAGGAAGTGTGGGCCTGGGTGAAGCCCAGGTGGCCCTGTTCCAGAGCCACTCAGTTGACTCTGTTAAAAAACACACATAGAATTCAACCAAGATCTAATTGGCTTTATTAAGTGATTCATGAATTGGGCAGCATCCCACATAGCAAGGAAGGGCACTCTGAGGGATGGTACAAACTGAAGATTTTTAGAGGAAGAAGGGTGGGGCAAGGGAGCAATGACAAAATAAAAAAAGGATTTGGGGGCAGGGATATCTCTTCCCTGGGGGAAGAGACCGGAAGGGTTTTTGTCATGCAGATTGCCTCATCTTTGGGGGTTAGGGGGTGGAGATGACCTTAATGGTGCTTGACCAGAAAACTCCAAACTGGATGATTAAGATTACGTTTCTGGGAGGTTGAAACTGCAATTTAATCAGGTATTAAATCTAGGTTTTAGCACAAGTGACACCATTTTTGGCCTGTGGTTTTCTCTTTAATGACTCCCATGCTCTGCTAAGGCCACCCTGACTTTGTGGGCTCGTGATGGCAGGTGTCACCACTCCCCAGGTATTAAAATAGCCTGGGATGGGGCTGGTCGGTGTCCTACCGGAAGTGCTATTGGCATCACACCCTGGAGGTTTGTTCCTAGGTGGCCGAGCAGAGACGAGGGGTTGCCTCTCTTTTCATACCCAGTTTGGGCTCAGAGCATGTAAGTAACTTGTTCCAGGCCTCCAGCCCTGGGTGCTGGAGTCAGAGCTTGAGTCCACACTATTTTCCCATCCTGCCTCTGTGGTGGGGAGCAGGGGTCAAGGGCACCCCTTGGGGCTAGAAACCCAGCAAGCAGAGCTGAGCTGGGTTATATCCCAGCCTGCTGGCCATGGACATCCACTGCTGATGAGGCAGGAGGGGGCAGGGGCTGCTAGTCCCCCAGCCCTCCAAATCCTGCCATGGGAGGTGTGAAGGACCTGCAAGAGGCTGGGGCAGTCAAGGCTATTCCCGCTCCCAGGCCCAGGCCCAGACAGGCATATCAGCAGTCTGTGCATGCCCAGAAGGAGGCCAGCAGGGGCCTGGGTGTGCCAGAGTGCTCCTTAGGCTGTAAGAGAAAGTGGGGAGGAGCTGGGCCACTCAGGTGACTGGGGAGGGGGGGTGCACACCTAGACCTGGCATCTGGGGACAGTGTTTCACCATGCTCCCAGTGCCCTCTGCCTCAGTTGAAGGAGCCTGCTGCTTGCCCCAACCCTATATACATACTCAGGGCCTGCTCCTGGGGTCAAGTGCCAAACATCAAGATCTGCACAGTCCAGGAAGACCGTCGCAACTCCAGGTACCTGCAGTACACACGTGCTCTCAAGTCTGTTGGGCTGCACCTGACTTCCTTAGAGGAGTAACTGCCCTCTCCCTATCCCTCCCCTTATTAGAGAAGCTCCTGGGGTACCCTGCCCCTCTTGAAGAGCCCTGGCTGAGTTTGGGGCATCCTTCAGCCCATTTAATCCTTACTGTAACACTGTTTCCCCCAACATCAAGGGTAGGGACCCTTGGGGCTCAGAGGGATTAAAGGACCTGCCCTAGGGGATAGTTGAGCCAAGAGGTCTGACTCCAGTGCCTGTGCTTAAGGGCCACTCGAGATCTCTATTATCATCTCTCTATTCAGGCCTGATGCCAAACAGCCTCAGGAGACCAGCCAGGAGCTAACTGGACTTCTAGGCCAAAGCGCCTGGTGCTTCGGGTGGGATTTCAGGAGGGCTGGCAGGCCTAGGACAGTGGCCAGGATGGGTTCCCAGAGCCCCCCAATGTGCCCTTAGGCGGCTCCTGCAGTGCCTATGTACTCTGGGCCCAGGCTCCCAGCCCAGCATGTGGTGGCAGCCAGTCGCTGGGTGTCCCTTCTCCCTACCTGGCTCCCTCCCTGACCCGCCCGCGTTGCAGTAGGATGCGGGCTGGCGGAGTGGACCTGGTAGGCGGGGCTTCCCGGAGCTTCAGGAGAGGGGAGCCTCTGCCTTTGCCCTGAAGTGCGCAGTGGCTGCGCCTCCAGAGTCGAGAGTGGTTCTGCAGTCCCTGGGGCCCGGCATCCCGCACTCCCTCGCCAGTCTCCGAACGCCTGCCAGGGCTGACCGTCCCCAGGGCGCTGGTGACTCACGCTCTGGGGGCAGAGGACGTACCCCTCTCTCTCCCCCTCTCTGAGCTTGTTTCTTCCTATAAACCGGTAATACCCATTTCACGAGGAGGTAAGGATTATACCAGAGGCTTGAAAGCGTTCGAAACGCGCCTGGCACAGGTAAATTCTCAACTAAAGGCAGCTGCTACTATTAATTTCTTGACATCCTGACCTGGCACTGACCCCACGCACGGCTTGGCGGGATCCTCTGGGTGGGTGAGGGAGGGGGCAAGCCGTTGGGGTGCGGGAGGTGTGTGTGCCCCCCTCCTGCCCCCAGTCCCTCTGCAGTTCCTAGCCCCTCTTCCGACCGTGGATGGGTCTCTGTTTCCCACCAAAGACCGCCTGAGGCCAGGATGTCCCAGGGGCCCGCGAGCCTGGAGCAGGGCCGGTCACGCCTCCAGCCCGTCTGCTGG